TGGGTTTTGCTGCAAAAATAAGAAGCAAGTGAGACCGTCAAAGTCTCCAGAGGAACTGTGGCTGCTTCTGCAAGATTCTCGGTAAAACTTACCAGCTAATTTCCTTATAAAACTGCACAAAGTGTACCTGAGACTACTATTTTTTTTTTAAAACCGAAGGATCGTCACACTAAATATTGACTTTGTTTCATTTATTACTGTTTACTGCTCTTTATAGTATTTTTTTAAATTTAGAAACATTTAATTTCATTATTTTTGAAGGCATCTTTGCTCTACAGCACTTCTTTGCATATACCTAAGACTTTTGCACAGTACTGTATATGTGTGTGCGAGTGTGTGTGTGTGTATAAAACATCCATAAATGCTATTTAAAAGTTTAAACCAATTTGAAGGAAAAACACAGCCTTCTTAACCTGATAAATGCCTCTTTCAGCCTGCAATACCTTCAAACACTGCACGCTTAGATTAAAAAAAAAAAAAAAAAAGTCAAGATAAACAGGCAGCACAGGACTGAGCTTGTAGAAAAGAAAGGTTCAAATATCACTCCAGAGATATAGAATTGGTACGGGTTTGAAAATCAGATGAACAAGTTTATGTAAACTGTAATGTGGCATTACATCCTAAGCGGTAATTCACCGGTCAGAATTACATCATTTTTGACCTCAGCACGTTCGACAGGTGAAGTGGGAAATTGGACAACCCCGTGTTTGTATTTTGATAACAACAAGCTAGGCAGCTAACTCGGATAAGTGATGTATATTTTCTTTCTCAAACAGCATAGTCAGTGTTTTAGATTTCACAAACAAATATGTCTGTATGTTGATTAATCTAAATCTAATACTTGTATAACTCATTTAAAGGTAAGAAGTTTTACTTTGTTTATTTCTGATGCTGTGCGCAGCCATATTGATTTGACATCACTCCGTAAACGGGGAAGAATACCCCAAGTTGACTTCTCAGTTGCGGTGGCATTTCATGTCACGAAAGACATGGTTCCCATTTACCCTGTCAAGAAGGAAGGGCTCAAAAATAGTAACGGCGCTATCTATAGCAAATAGTATTCTTTCTTTAAAGATCTTTTATGTAAAAGTCCATTCTAATAAATAAAAAAACTTTATAGATAAATTGCATAATTTTTCAATTGCATTATGAAAGAATAAAAAAAAATCAAAATCATAATCAAGAATCGTTCATAAAATAAAAATAAAAAAATCAATTTTTGTTTTTTTCTTTTTTCGCCTAGCCCTCCACCAGTGATTGTTTTTTGGTACTGGTTTCCATTTACATTCTATATATTTTTCTATATATTAATGACATTGTGACAAACTCATCAAATGTGTATTCATGAAACATATTTTATTCCATCAGTCTTTTCAAGTTTAGAAATTCAAATGTGACCTTTGATGTGCAAATGTCAGGAGAGAGCCAAGGCAGCAGTAGTGGAACATTATCAGGTAGTGTGAAGAAGCCTCACATGCACTGTAGATACATACTATGTAACATGTAGTCATCAGCCATTTTAATAAGAACACGTGTACCCCTGCAGATTTATACAATCATCCAATCTGCTAATCGTGTGGCAGCAGCACAATGCATAAAATTATGCAGATACAGGTCAAGAGCTTCAGTTAATGTTCACATAAAACATCAGCATGGGGGTTACACAGAATGGTATGAAAAACAAAAAAACATCCAGTGATTGGAAGTTCTGTGGGTGAAAATGCCTGAGAGAGATGAGAGAGATCAGAAGAGAATGACTTGACAAAGTCCAGCTGGCAGGAAATCTACAGTAACTCAACTCTTTACAACCATAAATTATGTGCAGAAAAGCATCTAGAAATGTGCAATACACCATATCTTGAGGTGGATGCACTACAACAGCAGAAGACCATGTTGGGTTCCATTCCAGTTAGCCAAGAACAGGAATCTGAGGCTACAGTGGGCACTCATGCATGGAAGTTTACATTTTACATTTACATACTTTTGTATTAAAAGTTACAAAGGTTAAAGGCAGGATTAACATTCATGCCATTCCTTATGAAATGGTATGCATGAACACAAACCTTCACTCATTCACATTTATAAAAAATATAATGCCTTTAACATGCAACCCCATATTTTCTATTTCATTTTAAACAGTAGGGAAAAACAGTTTCACCAGGTATTACATTTTCATTGCAATTAGTAGCAGTTATTTTTCAGAGCATCAAGAAAACCTTATGCCATTGTCCTTACGTTGCTCTTACCTTTCCTTTTGATAACATGGTATCACTTATTCAGGTCTTCAGCTTTGAAGCATTTCCTTCTCATTATGAGATCTCACTGCTTCAGTATCCTAGGAGAATGAACTCCCCCCTCCAGTCTACAGTACTTTTCTTTCGTAAAAGTAAAAAGACAAAATTCTTTAGGCTTTACTGGCACTAGCATTTATTGATTATGCACTTAGGTTTGGAATATTTTTAGTTACAGTCATTAGAGTAACTACTACACTACTCTAGCACTAGCATTAGTCTTTATTCCTTCAGTTTAAAGGAGAAGATCATGTTTTTTCACATTTGACTCTTTCTAAGTACTTTTCTAGACATACATACATTTTATATCATTTACTTCAATAATTTGTTAAAACTAATTAAAAATTCATCGCAATGCTCTGCAGGATCCTGTAGTGGTGGGAGTGGGGGTTTTTGGGGCCCACCTCATGAGATGGATGGGGCATATCCTGTCATAGCATATCCTGGCCTCGGTAACCCACTGTCAGGAGCTCAACTAGCTCCCCCTTGGAGGAATCAGCTGCTGTAGATTGTGCCCAAAGTAAAATGGGTAGCAAATTGCCAAAACATTCCACACACCTTGCAATGTATCAGTGTATCTGTATTCAGAGAATAACTGGAGGTAATACCTTATCTAGTGAGACTGCTTGTGACACAATGCAATAATCAATGGCAGGCATCCATCATAGGTTTACAGAATGATCTTTCATATTAACTAAAATGTGTGCTGCGGGGCTCAGGCTTGGTTGAGCTGACTGTCCAAATCTTTCTTAAACAAAATGTGAAACTGGACTTCAAAAGCATTTTTCTCAAAATGCCATGAATTTATGAGTGAAATGCCATATTAGGTTGGGTGGGACTTTGCTTTTATCCATTGGCATTTGATTGACTTGGACATGAACTAATAAGATTAAAATAGTCAGTTTGAACTCTGGTTGTCTTTAAAAGCTTTAAAGAAAATCCTTGCACTGTGGCGTTATAAATTTCATTGCACCTGACAATATGCAAAAAAAAACCATTTGAATATAGCACTATCCAGTTCCATTCTAAACATCACCTGAAACACCCTGTTGATGAGAGAGATCAGAGGAGAATGACCAGACTATTATGAGCTGACAGGAAATCTATAGTAACTCAGATAAGCACTCTTTATAACTGTGATGAGCAGAAAAGCATCTTTGAAGGCACAACACATCAAACCTTGAGGTGGATGGGCTACAACAGCAGAAGGGCACATCAGGATCCACTCCTATCAACAAGAACAAGAACAAGAACAAGAATCTGAGGCTATCATGGGCACAGACTCACTGAAGCTGGACAGTTGAAGACTGGAAAAAGACCAGGTGATTTCTTTTTCTAATCTTAAACTGTCCAGTTTGGTTGAGCCTGTGCATATGATAGCCTCAGATTCTTGTACTTGGCTGGCAGGAGTGGAACCCAATTTGGTCTTCTGCTGTTGTAGCCCATTCACCTCAAAGTTGATGTTTTGTGTATGTTGAGATGCTTTTCTTCTCACGATGGTTGTAAAGAATGCTTATGAGTTACTATATCCTTTCTGGCATCTCGAACCAATTTGCCCATTGCTCTTGACCTGTATCTGCATGATTTTTTGCATTGCGCTGTTGCCACATGATTGGCTGATTAGCTAACTGTGCTATGTACATTTCATTGGTAACACTTGACTGCTAATTGCTGCATCTTAATGCTTGTGGAAGTAGGAAGGGTGTCCTTTTTTCCCCACCTGGTTTCTGAATGTTACATAAAAGTTACTACTTGAATCTAGCATCCTCATTCCCTGTCAACATATTTAGCAGGAGAGTTATATGACAACTTTGTACTAAACTGAGGGAAAAAACACTCAACCACAGAAGCAGCAGTGTCAAATGTCAGTGTTTGACTTTGTTGGAAGGTTATGGTATGTGTGTGCACATGCACAAAAATGTCACCATGGTTCCCAGCATCCTTGTCAGATAGGATGGCAAAATTACTATTTATTACTTCTTTTGTTTGAGAGAGCTCAGCACAACGTAACATAAATGAATGAAAACTTAAATTAAATTTATGTTTGGTTTTCACTCAAAATATACATTGAGTTATTCTATATATTACTTTGTGCCTAGGAGCTGGCGCACCTTGTTTGTTTGATTTCTGACTAAATTTAATATAAATATAAATCAAATACAAGGCCTGCATCACCATTGTACATCATGTGTGGGCTCACAGCTCACAGTGCTAAAACGTGGGTTAAAATCAATGTCTGTGTGCTGCGCTTGATGTAAGTCACACTCACGAATAAAAACTATTCAGAGGCACATCCTGTGTTGTGTTAGCAGTGCCGTAAGCAGAAATTAATTTCAGTGGGATGAGGAAATATACAAAATAATTATTTTCCTGATATGTATAATTAAATGGGTGTGACGCACTAGTGCATTTTAGATTGATGTCAAACAGCAGCAGGAGCGGTAATGACACTAATTTGTCATTTAAGGCACAACCTACCATCAAACAATCTTTCCAAATTAATAATGTTGCCATAAAATACCTTTGACAGTTATGCTGAAAATTATTAAAATAACACACTGTTGTTCTTTTGGCTGCTCCTGTTAGTTGCCACAGTGGATCACCTTCCATTGTCTGCATATTGATTTGGTACAGGTTTTATGCTGGATGACCTACCTTACAAAACTCTCCCCATTTATCCAGGCCAGAGAGCGCACTGGCAGGGGTTTGCGCCCAGCATGGGGCTCAAACCCATGATCCTGAAATCAAAAATCCCATGCTCTACAAACTGAGCTAGTCAGGCACCTAAAATAGTATGTTAATAATAGGGGAAAATTATCTTGTATTATACATCTTATATGTATAAATCCTGATCTACTTTTCTTCTGCAGTAAACTCCAGCAGATACTTCACCTGCTCTGACCTCAACTTTAACTGTTGCATGGCTGTTGGTGCCAGATGGACTGGTTTGAGGAGTTAAGAAACTGCTGATCTCCTGGGATTTTCACACACAACGGTCTCTAGAGTTTACACAGAATGGTGCAAAAAAAAAAAAAACAATATCCATGCCACAATCAAAGTCACAGAAATACTTTTTTTTCTTCATTCTGATGTCTGATGTGAATATTACCCAAAGCTCTTGAACTGTATCTGCATGATTCTTTTCATTGTGCTGCTGCCACATGATTGGCTGATTAGGTAACTGCATGAATGTGGAGGTGTACAGGTGTTCCTAAGAAAGTGGCCGGCGAGAGTGTATGTATGTATGTATATACACTATATTGCCAAAAGTTTTGGGACACCCCTCCAAATCATTAAATTCAAGTGTTCCAATCACTTCCATGGACACAGGTGTATAAAATCAAGCACCTAGGCATGAAGACTGCTTCTACAAACATTTGTGAAAGAATGGGTCGCTCTCAGGAGCTCAGTGAATTCAAGCATGGTACCGTGATAGGTTGCCACCTGTGCAATAAGTCCATTCGTGAAATTTCCTCACTACTAAATATTCCACTGTCAACTGTTAGTGGTATTATAACAAAGTGGAAGCAAGAAAAGTGGTGAGCAGAGTCTGCAAAGTCAATAGCTACAGACCTCCAAACTTCGTGTGGCCTTCAGATTAGCTCAAGAACAGTCTGTAGAGAGCTTCATGGAATGGGATTCCATGGCCGAGCAGCTGCATCCTAGCCTTACATCACCAAGTGCAATGCAAAGCGTCGGATGCAGTGGTATAAAGCAGGACGCCACTGGCCTCTAGAGCAGTGGAGACATGTTCTCTGGAGTGACGAATCACGCTTCTCTGTCTGGCAATCCGATGGACGAGTGTGGGTTTGGCGGTTGTCAGGAGAACAGTACTTGCCTGACTGCATTGTGCCAAGTGTAAAGTTTGGTGGAGGGGGATTATGGTGTGGGGTTGTTTTTCAGGGGTTGGGCTTGGCCCCTTAGTTCCAGTGAAAGGAACTCTTAATGCTTCAGCATACCAAGACATTTTGGACAATTTCATGCTCCCAACTTTGTGGGAACCAACATGACTGCACACCAGTGCACAAAGCAAGGCCCATAAAGACATGGATGAGCAAGTTTGGTGTGGAGGAACCTGACTGGCCTGCACAGAGTCCTGACCTCAACCCGATAGAACACCTTTGGGATGAATTAGAGTGGAGACTGCGAGCCAGGCCTTCTCGTCCAACATCAGTGCCTGACCCCACAAATGCGCTTCTAGAAGAATGGTCAAAAATTCCCATAAACACACTCCTAAACCTTGTGGAAAGCCTTCCCAGAAGAGTTGAAGCTGTTATAGCTGCAAATGGGATGTCATTAAAGTTCACGTGCATGTAAAGGCAGACGTCCCAAAACTTTTGGCTATATAGTGTATGTGTATGTGTGTGTGTGTGTGTGTGTCTACATACATACAAACACACACACACATTATATATATATATATATATATATATATATATATATATATATATATATATACACACATATATACATCTGCACATTTATGCAGTTAATTTATCAGGTAATCATGTGGCAGTGGTGCAATTCCCCAGATCTCTATAGTGTGTGTGTGTGTGTGTGTGTGTGTATATAGTCAGGAAGTACTTGGACAAGTACTTGTGATTTTGCCTTTATACACTGCCACAATGGATCTGAAATAAAACAATCAAGATGTCGACATCGAAGTGTAGACTTTCAGCTTTATTTTAAGAGGTTCGACAAAAATATGGCATTTTCCATTTAGGAATTACAGCCATTTTAAGCAAAGTACTTCCATTTTCAGGGGCTCAAAGGTATTTGGACAATTGACTGACAAGAAGTTAATTGACAAGGTGCGGTCCATTCCCTCATTACTTCAAGACAAATGAAGCAGATAAAAGGTCTGGAGTTGATATCAGGTATTGAGTTGGCATTTGGCAGCAGTTCGACTGGAGCGACCAATATGAAGTCCAAGGAGATCTCAATGCAAGTGAAGGAGGCCATCATTAGGCTGAAAAAACAACATAAATCTATAAGAGAGATAGCAAAAACCTTAGGTGTGGCCAAATCAACAGTTGGGTACATTCTAAAAAGAAAGAAAGCACTGGTGAGCTCAACAACATCGAAAGGCCTGGAAGACCACAGAAGACAACTAAAGTGGATGATCGCAGAATCCTTTCCTTGGTGAAGAAAACCCCTTCACAACATCAACAGAAGTCAAGAATATTCTGGAGAAGGTAGGCGTATCATTGTCCAAATCTACAATCAAGAGACGCCTTCATGAATGTAAATACAAAGGGTTTACAACAAGGTGCAGACCACTGGTAACATTCAAGAACAGGAAAGCCAGATTAGACCTTGCCAGAAAACATCTAAAAAAGCCTCCCATGTTCTGGAATAAGATTCTTTGAACTGATGAAACCAAGATTAACTTGTACCAGAATGATGGGAAGAGAAAAGTATGGCGAAAGAAAGGAAAAGCTCATGATCCAAAGTATACCACATCATGTGTCAAACATGGTGGAGGAAGTGTTATGGCATGGGCATGTATGGCTGCCAGTGGAACGGGCTCACTGGTGTTTATTGATGATGTGACTGCTGACAGAAGTAGCAAGATGAATTCTGAGGTGTTTAGGACTATACTCTCTGCTCACATTCAGCCAAATGCTACAAAACTGATAGGATGCTGCTTCACAGTGCAGGTGGATAATGACCCATAGATAAACATACTGCGAAAGCAACTCAAGACTTTTAGAAGGCAAAGAAATTGAATATTCTTCAATGGCCAAGTCAGTCACCTGATCTCAACCCAATAGAGCATGCTTTTCACTTACTGAAGACAAGACTGAAGGCAGAAAGACCCACAAACAAGCAGCAACTGAAGGTGGCTGCAGTGAAGGCCTGGCAAAGCATCTCCAGGGAGGAAACTAAGAATTTCAGTTTTGAGAACATGGGCTCCAGACTTCAGGCAGTCATTGACTGCAAAGGATTTTTATCCAAGTATTAAAATTATGGTTATATTTACAATTATGTCACTTTGTCCAAATACCTTTGAACCCCTGAAAATGGAGGTACTTTGCTGAAAATGGCTGCAATTCCTAAATGGTAAATGCCATATTTTTGTGGAACCTCTTAAAATAAAGCTGCAAGTCTACATTTCGATCACATCTTGATTGTTTTATTTCAAATCCATTGTGGTGGTGTATAAAGGCAAAATTCTCCGTCAGTGTCCAAATACTTCCGGACCTAACTGTATATATATATATATATATATATATATATGTTGTACTGTGTGCCTGTATGTATAAGCTAACTTGAGTATGACACCCCTGAACTAGGTGATAATGCCTGAAGTGGGGAAATAAAGAAATAAAATAATTAAATTTCTTTATATCAAAATAGCAAACTATACATGGCACCCGTCATAGGACACAAAGATTAAATATACTGTGCATTAATGATCAGCTGCCTTATTCCTTTAGGATCACTATGGGCGTGCTGAAGGAATCTGCTTTCGCTGCTCGCTTCTCAGTTGCGTGTGTTTATAATTTTATCATGCAGAGGGAAGCCGTTCTCTCGGTTTCTGCTCACTATAGCTTCACATTGAGGAAGCGCAGCGGTTTTGGATCTTGTTCAAATTAACGCCCATTTACTTTGCAAAAGGAGACAGCTATCGCCGGTACGACACACACTAACAAGGATGATGACGGTGAGGATGTCTCTTATGCTCGCCCGCCTTTGAGCTCAGGCCGCGAGGCGGCTTTTTATCGCTCATTTCTCTGGTACGTGAACGCAGTGGTGTATGCAAGGACTGTGCATCGGTCTATTTTGAATAATATATCCTCGTGCATTGCACCGTGACCTTGGAGACGTGCTCTTCATGTTCTTGCCGAGTTCACAATAACGATGTCGTTCCTTTCCCTGTATTAGGCGATTACCACCAACGCTCCAGCATCGCCAGAAAAATGTGAAGGACGCTGGTACATCTATGATACATCTACCTGGGCCGTTGGTTGGTGTTTTGTCGTTGCTGTTGTTGTCTGATCATAGCAGTACCATTGTCTTTTTGAGCTATTGTTTCCGTTTTGGCGTTCTTTGCTCCCGTGTCGCGGGCATGTAAGCTTCGATTACTTCTGTCGTAGTAATGCTGTCATTTGCATTTAATGCAAATAAATAACGTTATAGCCTTTATGCTATTATGTAAAATTAGGCCAGAGCTGACATAATCGACTGTGAATTTCCTTTAAAGCAAATGCTATAGAAAATTTATTTGCAGTGATTTTCAAATAAAAGTAATATCTCTTTATAGACAGTGCTTCTTGTCAGGGGACATCCAGATTAATTTAAGAATGGTGTAAGTGCATAAAAATCAACAAGACAGTGTTCGTGACAAAAATATCACTTTATCAGCACCACAGTATGTTGCATTTTTGGGATATTACATTTGTATAGTGTACAGAACATATTTAAAGAACGTGTTACAGACAGATCAGCCCTGACTTGTGATCCATAGATTTGATAAATAAGTTGTAATGCTAAGCTTTTTCTGTGATACTCAGTATCACCAGCAGTCCAGCAGAAAATTTTGACATTATGGAATTAAGTCATGACTAGAAGAGGAATATGGGAGCTAAATACACCACAAGTGCTAACATGTGGGAACATGTGGTACTACATTTCTTCTTCTTGTGATATTCAAACATTAAGGAAGTTTTGAATGTCAAAAATTAATTACCTTATGGACAAAGAGAAGAAACTAGAATAATCTTAGTAATGTGATATGTAATCCCCAGTGAGGAGGATTTTTATGTTTCAGACGTTTCA